ACTCAGTGTAGCGCTGTATCAGTTGATGTTTCACTCAGTGTAGAGCTGTATCAGTTGATGTTTCACTCAGTGTAGAGCTGTATCAGTTGATGTTTCACTCAGTGTAGAGCTGTATCAGTTGATGTTTCACTCAGTGTAGAGCTGTATCAGTTGATGTTTCACTCAGTGTAGAGCTGTATCAGTTGATGTTTCACTCAGTGTAGAGCTGTATCAGTTGATGTTTCACTCAGTGTAGAGCTGTATCAGTTGATGTTTCACTCAATGTAGAGCTGTATCAGTTCATGTTTCACTCAATGTAGAGCTGTATCAGTTGATGTTTCACTCAGTGTAGAGCTGTATCAGTTCATGTTTCACTCAGTGTAGAGCTGTATCAGTTGATGTTTCACTCAGTGTAGAGCTGTATCAGTTCAAGTTTCACTCAGTGTAGAGCTGTATCTGTTCAAGTTTCACTCAGTGTAGAGCTGTATCAGTTGATGTTTCACTCAGTGTAGAGCTGTATCAGTTCATGTTTCACTCAGTGTAGAGCTGTATCAGTTGATGTTTCACTCAGTGTAGAGCTGTATCAGTTCAAGTTTCACTCAGTGTAGAGCTGTATCAGTTCAAGTTTCACTCAGTGTAGAGCTGTATCAGTTGATGTTTCACTCAGTGTAGAGCTGTATCAGTTCAAGTTTCACTCAGTGTAGAGCTGTTTAAGTTGATGTTTCACTCAGTGTAGAGCTGTATCAGTTGATGTTTCACTCAGTGTAGAGCTGTATCAGTTGATGTTTCACTCAGTGTAGAGCTGTATCAGTTCAAGTTTCACTCAGTGTAGAGCTGTATCAGTTCAAGTTTCACTCAGTGTAGAGCTGTATCAGTTGATGTTTCACTCAGTGTAGAGCTGTATCAGTTGATGTTTCACTCAGTGTAGAGCTGTATCAGTTGATGTTTCACTCAGTGTAGAGCTGTATCAGTTGATGTTTCACTCAGTGTAGAGCTGTATCAGTTGATGTTTCACTCAGTGTAGAGCTGTATCAGTTGATGTTTCACTCAGTGTAGAGCTGTATCAGTTGATGTTTCACTCAGTGTAGAGCTGTATCAGTTGATGTTTCACTCAATGTAGAGCTGTATCAGTTGATGTTTCACTCAGTGTAGAGCTGTATCAGTTGATGTTTCACTCAGTGTAGAGCTGTATCAGTTGATGTTTCACTCAGTGTAGAGCTGTATCAGTTGATGTTTCACTCAGTGTAGCGCTGTATCAGTTGATGTTTCACTCAGTGTAGAGCTGTATCAGTTGATGTTTCACTCAGTGTAGAGCTGTATCAGTTGATGTTTCACTCAGTGTAGAGCTGTATCAGTTGATGTTTCACTCAGTGTAGAGCTGTATCAGTTGATGTTTCACTCAGTGTAGAGCTGTATCAGTTGATGTTTCACTCAGTGTAGAGCTGTATCAGTTGATGTTTCACTCAGTGTAGAGCTGTATCAGTTGATGTTTCACTCAATGTAGAGCTGTATCAGTTCATGTTTCACTCAATGTAGAGCTGTATCAGTTGATGTTTCACTCAGTGTAGAGCTGTATCAGTTCATGTTTCACTCAGTGTAGAGCTGTATCAGTTCATGTTTCACTCAGTGTAGAGCTGTATCAGTTCAAGTTTCACTCAAAGTAGAGCTGTATCAGTTCAAGTTTCACTCAATGTAGAGCTGTATCAGTTCAAGTTTCACTCAATGTAGAGCTGTATCAGTTCAAGTTTCACTCAGTGTAGAGCTGTATCAGTTCAAGTTTCACTCAATGTAGAGCTGTATCAGTTCAAGTTTCACTCAGTGTAGAGCTGTATCAGTTCAAGTTTCACTCAGTGTAGAGCTGTGTCACTTCAAGTTTCACTCAGTGTAGAGCTGTATCATAACAAAGGGGGAAACTGTCCCATTATCATCTCGGCCTCAACAAACGCTACGTCTCTACAATATAAACTGATATAGGCTGCATCAGGCTACAGGAGAGATTTATTTACATCTACAGTAAGTCCATTGATTTTTGTTCAGCCTGGAAAGCCTCGTCTCAGTCAGAAGGTTGATCACAGTATGTATATATCCTGGTATGTATATATCCTGGTATGTATATATCCTGGTATGTATATATCCTGGTATGTATATATCCTGGTATGTATATATCCTGGTAAGTGTATCTTTGGCAGGGGCGGATCTACTCTTAACTTACGAGGTTTAAGCTTGAGGACCTCTACAAGCGACTTAATTCCACATTGTTTAAAAAATTTGGGTCTAATCTATGAGAAGGGTTTTTTTAAAAATAATAATATTAATAACATAGTATAATTTGGTACAGAATAATAGATAAAATAAAAATTCTAGAATTATTGAAGTGTAATGCTGTATAATCCTCCGGGTTTAGCGCTTCCCCCTTGATTATAATAATAATAATAATTGAAGTGTAATGTAGGCGAGCCGTTGCTGGTTGCCAAGGTGACTCCATAACAGTTCAAGCTTCAGGGTCCCCATAACAGTTCAAGCTTCAGGATCCCCATAACAGTTCAAGCTTCAGGGTCCCCATAACAGTTCAAGCTTCAGGGTCCCCGTAACAGTTCAAGCTTCAGGGTCCCCATAACAGTTCAAGCTTCAGGGTCCCCATAACAGTTCAACTTTCAAATTCCCAAAAATGTAGGTCCGCCCCTGATCTCTGGATTATAGTATTCTCGACTGGTGGTGAACAGTGCAGCCTGCAGCCTTAATGACCCTTGTGTGTGGAAAGTCTTTAACCCCTGTTAACCTGCCAGCCAAGGTAGTATGTATCCCTCCTGTGAACTGACAAGTTACGTATTCTCTGTATTTTTTGATGCATGATATTTACAGAGACTTTTAATATATTAAAAGTAGCTTTTTGAGGCAGCAAGTATAGCTCTTAGTGTCTGTATTATTGGGTTTAAGGAAAACCAACCAGATTGGTTTAAAAACCTGCATGAATTATGGGTAGAATATTGTACCCTGCATGTCAAAGATTGTTGGGTGGTAGATGGTATAAAATACCGACACGGTGGAAGAATGGATATAAATGTAGTATATTTCTATCCTTTATTGACTACGTTTCCCCATACAGTAGGCTTTATCAAGTTACAAATAGATCTACGTGAGCAGAGAATACCTATAAATATATAGTGACGTGAAGAGTCAGGTGGGTAATGCACATACGTGCAGATCCTGAGATCCAACTTCTCAGTATTCCCCCACCTAACTCTCCACGTCACTACGCTCCTTCTATATATACACATGAAGAAGACTCGACCCAGGACCCGTCCTGGCGAGCCTACCTGTAATATCTACTGTGTGGGGAACCGTAGTCATAAAGGATCGTATTATGCTACATTTGTGGCTATTTTTCCATTCTTGGGTGGCAGGGACCTCTCATTATTATGTAACATATTTGTGAAATGATTTCTTTCTCCGGAATGAATTCCTGAGCAAGGAAAAGGGCTATAGAATAGTGGAGTCACTGTAATGGTTAAATATTGGTGTTGGTTTTCCCCCTCACGTTCATGACTCATAGATGAATATCATAAACCATACCCCCGGCCGGGATTGAACCCGCGGTCATAGAGTCTCAAAACTCCAACCGCGGGTTCAATCCCGGCCGGGGGTATGGTTTATTTGCAATCGTGTCATTACGATTTCTTAAGTCATGAATATCATAGGGGTGAATAAAGTCACAATTCACTGACTGTAACAATACACAGACAACCCACAATTTGCTGAGAGAATTTAGACGATGTTTGGCTCCGTTCTAGACTGTTATTAAGGTTGATGATTAAGACGCATGTACAGCAGTTGGGTATCTTTATTGTTGAAACGTTTATCCTACACAGTAGGCTTCTTCAGTCATATACAGAGGCAGCAGGTGTAGTAGTGAAATGAAGATGATGTAATCAGTCCAACATCCTTGGAGAAATGGTGTTTGAGGTGGTCAGTCCCTCAGCCTGGAGGGACTGACCACATCAAATTGCATTTCTCATGCTATACCTGACTCCTGTATATGACTGAGGAAGCCTACTGTGTAGGCGAAACGTTGAACCAATAAAAATACCCAACTGCTGCACATATGTCTAAATCACCAATTAATTAGCTGTAGTCGCTTCCAGAGGTCACCGCTCAGCCTCTTCCCAGGGGACCCGGTCCTAGACCAGGCCTCCTGATTACTAATATGATCGATCAGACTGTTATCATACTTGAAGACTGAGACACTTGTGGAACATTTGGCAATCTGTATTTAGGAAACGCTCCACCACACAGTGCCTTCATCGGCCCAATGCAAAGAACGGTGGAAAAAGAGAAGGAGTTCGAGGTAATTAGTCCCTGTGTGGCGAAGTATTTCCTAATTAAAGACGCCCATATATTGTTTAAGTGTTTCATTATCATACTTGTCCCGGTTGAGTCCAAACGCCGTCTAAAGTTTTCTCTAAATTGTAGGTTAGTTGTGATTCATTGGGATGTTATTTTAATGGTCAAGGGTTCTCCATGCTGTAGACTAGTAGTTAGAATGCCTAAAATATGGGTGTGGTTTATCTTCACACTAATAGATACCGATAGATTGGTTTGGAAAGATACGAGAGCAAATGCTAGGACATATTTATCAAAAAACGTTTGGGTCCTTGAACCTTGATCACTTCTAACACATGGAAACTACTGGCAACTACAAAATTTCCAAAACATTAGCATACATGACGGTCAACCAGGCACAGCATCACACACCTAACAACATAGGAGTCACGTGAACTCACTCTCTACCTGTCCTCATTCCAACATGGTATTCTTTAGGTCGCCTGCGTCACTCATACCTCACTCTCCGACTGTATTTATACAGTTGAAGTGATCAAGGTCCTTGGACCGAAGCGTTTTCTATTAAATATGTCCTAGTGTTTGCTTACCTGTCTTTTTAAGCTAGTACAAGAGTTATCTGGCCTAGTGCAGTAGTGTACATGATGCTTATAGTGGTTGTGGTCTCTTTCTTTATCTTGCAGGTGCTATCACACTTGTCTGATGGTGGCGGGTGTCTTAACCTTCCTTCAGAACTAACTCTCACTCCTCACCACAACTCGCTCATCAGCTTCAACACATCTCTACGAAACATCTAGATTTCATTTGCTGTATCGTTAGTGTTATTGCACATGGTGTCCCGACTCGTGAGGGCAGCAACCACCATGGGCTCCAACCAAAATCCCAAATCTCAGTCTAAAAGCAAAGTTATTATCAAAGCTGTGGCTACCAAAAGCAGGAAGCAAGGATCCACCGGTGCTGCCACCAAGAACAACCATGCCAAACATCTAATCATTAAGACCAGTACTGGGGAAGTAGACAACTCCCTCGGGATCGACGTGCCACTGATCGACACCAGCGAGGGGGATGTGACCATAACGCCAGCACTCGTTGAAAGTGAAATCGACAATGAGGGTGCGACCACTACTCTCAACGGATGGAAACTGGCAAAGCGAAAAGCAAAAAATCACATAGGCAGCCTCCAAGACGGGGGAACTAGTGAGAACGGGGTTAATGTCGTTACGAAAAGTGTGGCTCGGAACACTACCAAGATGATCAGCTCAACGAGGACGAAAACAAGCAAATCTAATACTAAAAAGGGAAGATCCGTTGAAAAAATTACTATAACTACGAACACGGGAAAGGGGAAAGCACAACTCCTTAACGAAGTTCAGAATCCGATGAAGGAAGACAGTAAGATCGTCATCACTTCAGGACTGGGAAAGGAAGAAGCATCACAAAAGGTCACAGCAGCAGCAGCATCCACGCCACCGGTGGACAAAGCTGTCGAACTAACAGGCGAGACTTTAAAACTGACAGGAAGAGGCGAAAAGAAACAAACTGTAACGAAGAAAGAGACAAAGAGAGCTTCCAAATCATCCAAAAAGACGCTAGAAACTGATACTAACAAAAAGTCCGGAATCCAGAAAGCTAAAAAGAACTCCATTTTTACTGACAAAATCCAAGACATACCCGAAGAAAAGAACGCTGATAAAGCGGGTGGAATACCTGCAAAGAAATCTAGTGCCAAGGATAAGCTAGATAAGGACGGGGGCGGGGGTGAGAGCTCGGACGACGGGATGGATATAGATATTCAAAACATTGACGATGATGATGAAGCCAGTTCAGACGCCACTGACTTCGACTCGAGAGACCCCAACGAAGAACACGTCATCGTCCTCAAGGAATGTGAATCAGAAGTTGACGAGAATAATAAACGCAAAAAGTTTAAGTGTGCGATTTGTGGGAAATTCTCAACAGCAAAGGCCGACCTTTTAAAGCACGTGCGCATACATACCGGCGAGAGACCGTTTAAGTGCAAGATCTGCAACGCCACCTTCGTCCAGATCACTGCACTTCGAGGTCATGAAACTATTCATACAGGAGAAAAGCCCTTCACGTGTGATATATGCATGAAGAGCTTCGCCCTGAAAGATCGCCTGAGGCTCCACATGAGAGTCCATACCGGAGAAAAGCCACACAAATGCAATAAGTGCAACCAGGCGTTCGCTCGCCGCAGCCAGGTGACCCAACACTTGCGGGTTCACACAGGTGAGAAGGCCTACGAGTGCGCTGAGTGCGGGGCTCGCTTTACCTCCTACCACACCCTCAAGGGACACCTGATGGCACATCGGGGTGTCAAGGAGTTCCAGTGTGGCGCCTGTGGTAAGAAGTTCATTCGTGTGGAAGGTCTGTACAAACACATTCGCATGGTACATCGCGGTTCTCGCCCCTATTATTGCAACCTGTGTGGCAAAGCTTTCAAAGGTCACTTGCAACAACACATGAGACTTCATCTTGGCGTGCGGCCTTTCGAGTGTTCGACGTGCAAAGCTACCTTCACACAGAACTCCCAGTTGACTGTCCACATGCGGATCCACACTGGTGAGAGACCATACAAGTGTCAGATTTGCGGTGCCGCGTTTGCACATTCCTCAGCTTGCAAAATCCACATGCGATCTCACACAGGAGAGAAGCCATTCCAGTGTGTATTGTGTTCGGCCGCCTTCTCTCAGCTCCCCCACCTGAAGAAACACATGAAGTGCGTCCATAATGCCGTGAAGCCGTACCTCTGCACCATTTGCAAAGATTTCTTCCAGACGCAGAGCGAGTTGGACGGCCACGAGCGGACTGACCACGGCATGGACAAGTCTGCCGAACAGGAAGCAGAGGAAATGGTGGAAGAATCTACACTGGCGCGTCTGCGGAACCGTCTGGCTGTCCTCCTGTACCGCATTTCCTCCGAAGAACGCCGCTGCAAATTTGGCTTCGGCCATAGGCTGGTGGACGAAGTCCTAAAGCTCTCGCTGGAGTCGTCAGGTCATGTCCCCATTAACGACAAGTCGCTCTCGAGGCTGGATGAGCTGCGCAAGAATGTCCTCCTACTGCTGAAATGGACCATACCCAAGGACACGCTGGAGGAGTACCACAAAAATAACATGACTGTTGATGAAGTGCTCGACATGCTGACCACTTAATGCCGGTGAGATTAGGCAAGCAATAGTTCTTTATCCTCGTCAAAACGATAACCAAAACAGGCAGAAAAAAAAAGTATTTAAATGCCCACAGGCTTATAGTTTCCAACTGAAAGATTTTTATATCCCCTTTTCTAACGCTTCTCCTTTATCATTATTTATCATATCGGCTTTATATAAAATACAGCACAGTACTGTGCTGTTGATGTGTTCTATTTAAATGGGTGAAAATGTGCAATGTAGCTCTTAATATTTGTGAAAAGCATTTTATTATTACTAGTATAAAAATTGTTAAATGTCACACACAAACCCACATGGAGAAAATAAAACAAAGATTGCTGTTTGAAGTGCATATACACCTAGAGTTGTGTATACCTCAATGCATATACACTGAGAGTTTACATATATACCTCTTTTAAGGATTAAAGTATGCTTGACCTGGTGGTGTAAAGGTGATATACAACCTTAATGAGCCTCATGTAGTCGATTGGCTTTCAGCCGCAACAAGTGCTAAGTGAAGTAGGTTTAAACCCTATCGACTACACGAGGGCCTTCAAGACTGCGTGGGTTTAGCACTCAAGTTATGATTATAATAATTCAAGACTGCGTGTAAGCTACTCACCACCAGTCAATATTGCTTTAATTCATAAAACAGGAATTACTAAGTTTTCAAAGTATATACGCTGAGAGACACATCATAGTGTGTATATTCCAAGTACTGAATATTTCCTCAGCCATCAGCTGAAGTATAATCATTATACCTTTACCTTTGGATTTCATATGATGTTCACATATGTGCAAATATCGCACATGTGTCTCATTTATCATAGTGTCGGTTTTTTAAACCATTTGTCGGATTTTTAAACCATTTATCCACTTTTCCTCTGCTTCGAAGCACAAGTGCAAAGCTCTCAGCCTCGTCTCAGTGCCGGATTATAGCATAGGCTTTAAGGGCTGCAGCCCAAGGTCATCCGCCAGCTGGAGGGCCTCTGCTAGCTGGAGGGCCTCCGCCAGCTGGAGGGCCTCTGCTAGCTGGAGGGCCTCCGCCAGCTGGAGGGCCTCCGCCAGCTGGAGGGCCTCCGCCAGCTGGAGGGCCTCCGCCAGCTGGAGGGCCTCCGCCAGCTGGAGGGCCTCCGCCAGCTGGAGGGCCTCCGCCAGCTGGAGGGCCTCCGCCAGCTGGAGGGCCTCCGCCAGCTGGAGGGCCTCCGCCAGCTGGAGGGCCTCCAGACACGTTTCCAATTAATTAAACAAAGAAAATGATTGAATTTTGGTTGTGTTTTGTCTTCTAAAATATGTAATATTTCTTTAAATTTTTTCACTTTTGAAATATCACTGGGACCCCTCACAGTACCTGTGGCCCAGGGGCCCCCTCACAGTACCTGTGGCCCAGGGGCCCCCCTCACAGTACCTGTGGCCCAGGGGCCCCCTCAGTACCTGTGGCCCAGGGGCCCCCCTCACAGTACCTGTGGTCCAGGGACCCCCCTCACAGTACCTGTGGCCAAGGGGCCCCCTCACAGTACCTGTGGCCCAGGGGCCCCTCACAGTACCTGTGGCCCAGGGGCCCCCTCAGTACCTGTGGCCCAGGGGCCCCCCTCAAAGTACCTGTGGTCCAGGGGCCCCCCTCACAGTACCTGTGGCCCAGGGGCCCCCTCAGTACCTGTGGCCCAGGGGCCCCTCACAGTACCTGTAGCCCAGAGGCCCCTCACAGTACCTGTGGCCCAGGGGCCCCCTCACAGTACCTGTGGCCCAGGGGCCCCTCACAGTACCTGTGGCCCAGGGTCCCCCTCACAGTACCTGTGGCCCAGGGTCCCCCTCACAGTACCTGTGGCCCAGGGGCCCCCTCACAGTACCTGTAGCCCAGGGGCCCCCCTCACAGTACCTGTGGCCCAGGGGCCCCTCACAGTACCTGTAGCCCAGGGGCCTCACAGTAACTAGCCCAGGGGCCCCCTCACAATACCTGTAGCCCAGGGGTCTCAGTACCTGTAGCTCAGGGACCTCAGTACCTGTAGCCCAGGGGTCTCACAGTACCTGTAGCCCAGGGGTCTCACAGTACCTGTAGCCCAGGGGTCTCAGTACCTGTAACCCAGGGGCCTCACAGTACCTGTAACCCAAGGGCCTCACAGTACCTGTAACCCAGGGGCCTCACAGTACCTGTAGCCCAGGGGCCTCACAGTACCTGTAGCCCAGGGGTCTCACAGTACCTGTAACCCAGGGGCCTCACAGTACCTGTAACCCAGGGGCCTCACAGTACCTGTAGCCCAGGGGCCTCACAGTACCTGTAACCCAGGGGCCTCACAGTACTTGTAGCCCAGGTACCTCACAGTACCTGTTGCCCAGGGGCCTCACAGTACCTGTAGCCCAGGGGCCTCACAGTACCTTGTAGCCAGGGGCCTCACAGTACCTGTAGCCCAGGGGCCTCACAGTACCTGTAGCCCAGGGGCCTCACAGTACCTGTAGCCCAGGGGCCTGACAGTACCTGTAGCCCAGGGGCCTGACAGTACCTGTAGCCCAGGGGCCTCACAGTACCTGTAGCCCAGGGGCCTCACAGTACCTGTAGCCCAGGGGCCTCACAGTACCTGTAGCCCAGGAGCCTCACAGTACCTGTAGCCCAGGAACCTCACAGTACCTGTAGCCCAGGGGCCTCACAGTACCTGTAGCCCAGGGGCCTCACAGTACCTGTAGCCCAGGGGCCTCACAGTACCTGTAGCCCAGGGGCCTCACAGTACCTGTAGCCCAGGAGCCTCACAGTACCTGTAGCCCAGGGGCCTCACAGTACCTGTAGCCCAGGAGCCTCACAGTACCTGTAGCCCAGGAGCCTCACAGTACCTGTAGCCCAGGAGCCTCACAGTATCTGTAGCCCAGGGGCCTCACAGTACCTGTAGCCCAGGGGCCTCACAGTACCTGTAGCCCAGGGGCCTCACAGTACCTGTAGCCCAGGGGCCTCACAGTACCTGTAGCCCAGGGGCCTCACAGTACCTGTAGCCCAGGGGCCTCACGTACCTGTAGCCCAGGGGCCTCACAGTACCTGTAGCCCAGGGGCCTCACAGTACCTGTAGCCCAGGGTCCTCACAGTACCTGTAGCCCAGGGGCCTCACAGTACCTGTAGCCCAGGAGCCTCACAGTATCTGTAGCCCAGGGGCCTCACAGTACCTGTAGCCCAGGGGCCTCACAGTACCTGTAGCCCAGGGGCCTCACAGTACCTGTAGCCCAGGGCCTCACAGTACCTGTAGCCCAGGGGCCTCACAGTACCTGTAGCCCAGGGGCCTCACAGTACCTGTAGCCCAGGGGCCTCACAGTACCTGTAGCCCAGGGGCCTCACAGTACCTGTAGCCCAGTGGTCTCACAGTACCTGTAGCCCAGGAGCCTCACAGTACCTGTAGCCCAGGGGTCTCACAGTACCTGTAGCCCAGGAGCCTCACAGTACCTGTAGCCCAGGGGCCTCACAGTACCTGTAGCCCAGGGGCCTCACAGTACCTGTAGCCCAGGGCCTCACAGTACCTGTAGCCCAGGTGCCTCACAGTACCTGTAGCCCAGGAGCCTCACAGTACCTGTAGCCCAGGGGCATCACAGTACCTGTAGCCCAGGGGCCTCACAGTACCTGTAGCCCAGGGGCCTCACAGTACCTGTAGCCCAGGGGCCTCACAGTACCTGTAGCCCAGGTGCCTCACAGTACCTGTAGCCCAGGAGCCTCACAGTACCTGTAGCCCAGGGCCTCACAGTACCTGTAGCCCAGGGGCCTCACAGTACCTGTAGCCCAGGAGGCCTCACAGTACCTGTAGCGCCCCGGGGCCTCACAGTACCTGTAGCCCAGGAGGCCTCACAGTACCTGTAGCCCAGGGGCCTCACAGTACCTGTAGCCCAGGAGGCCTCACAGTATCTGTAGCCCAGGAGGCCTCACAGTACCTGTAGCCCAGGAGGCCTCACAGTACCTGTAGCCCAGGAGCCTCACAGTACCTGTAGCCCAGGGGCCTACAAACTCTTAATCCGGCTCTGCCTTATCTCCTAAATACAAAAATGCTCTGAAATACTCTACAGTTGCTTAAATACTGATGATTTGTTTTCTTAAATTATTTAAAAAATTATTTTTTTTGCGTACGGTAATGTGTATACTATGTACATGTAGTTTGTATTATGTACTAAATACTGTGTTTATATGTGTTAAATCTTGTCATTTCATTGTGTTTATATAGTGCATTTACGTCATTTTTCACACTGTTTTTATATAATTTCTTTACATTACATATTTATATTATTTGGTATATTTAATGTATTTACATCATGTATTAAAACGTGCTTTCAGATTTTCACATGCTGTTTATATAATGGATTTTCACGTGTTTGTATAATTTTAAACCATATAAACTATTTAAAAATGTATTATTCGATTGATGTGCCAGTAAACTGTGTCATATTACAGTGTGTATAGATATTTTTAAGATTAATTTACTGTAATAAGAAAAAAAAAAACAGCCCTGAATTCACTGTTGCCATATGTAGGACCCTGGCCACTGATGTTCTTTTCTAGTCGTCTTGTGTTCTAAAGGACATGGTAGGGTTCTATTATTATCTAGTTTAAGGATATGTATATGTATATGCGAGGAAACCGTGGTTGATACATTGTTTTTGTGTTTAAGTCGTGGCTACTCCCTTATATCAAATATGATTATCCCTCAGAAGTTATGTAATGTTTATTTCTTTAGGGTCTCCAAGGTATGTACACCGAGAAGTGTATGTCTTGGTATGAATATTTGCTAAGAGTGTAATTTCTGTACTATGTATTAAGGTATTCTTGACTGGTGGTGAACAGGTGACCTGCAGCCTTAATGACCCTCGTGTGGTCAGTAGGATTTATACCCCATTGAACAGCCATCCCCATGCTTATAGTAATAATAATTTTGTGTTCTACAGTGACAGGCACGAAGCTAGTGTAGATCTAACCTATCTTGGTTGTGGATTTTCAACCGTATCCCGTCCTGGCTGTGGATTTTTGGGTCTCCAACCCCTGTCTGTGCATTTTCAAGCCTATCCAGGGCGAATTGCCATGATAATTTTCTCATTTTCCTCGTCTATACGCGACAAAGAGAATGTACCAACCATCTAGTTAAGGGAATAAATATATATATATATATATATATATATATATATATATATATATATATATATATATATATATATATATATATATATATATATATATATATATATATATATATATATACTATGTGTTTATAATGTCATGTGTGTAGGTAAAGACTCTTGGAGTGTCATACAAAGTGCAATAACTGTGTTCTGAATCCCAAAGTTTTTTACTGATGTAAGCCAAGCATTTCAACCCCATCCATCGTTCTAGTCGAAGTTGGTGCCAAGAAAGAACCCACCGGATGCGAACGAGCGAGAAACAATGTGTGTGTGTGTGTGTGTGTGTACTCACCTAATTGCGGTTGCAAAGGTCGATTCATAGCTCCTGGCCCTGCCTCTTTACTGGTCGTTACTGTAATCACCTAATTGTGCTTACAGAGGTCGTTTCATAGCTCCTGGCCCTGTGTGTTGTGTGTATGTACTTCCTTGTATGTGGTTGCAGGGATCGTGTGTGTGTGTGTGTAGTGTCCTAGTGTTTTTGATGGTGCTACGTGTTATTTGCAAGTTAATTTCTGTTAATATTTGTGTCTGTTTAATGTTTTTGCAACCTAGGCTGAATATTTAACGATAATTGCATTTTTTTTCTTTTATCTACGTTTTATCATCTGTAATTTTTTCTTCGTGTTTTTTTAAGTACAGTAGATTTGTTTTTGTATCTAATTTGACTGTGCAATTTAAATCAGTTTGTGCTCTAAGAGTGCTATAATTTATCGCTATGTTTAATGTTCGCTATATTTCTAGGTTCTGTATTTTCCTTATTTTTCCCATTAGCATTATCACAAAGAATTCTCTCTCTCTCTCTCTCTCTCTCTCTCTCTCTCTCTCTCTCTCTCTCTCTCTCTCTCTCTCTCTCTCTCTCTCTCTCTCTCTCTCTCTCTCTCTCTCTCTCTCTCTCTCTCTCTCTATGTTGCATGTGCTCCTACAGCTAGTTAAGAGGAAATTAGACTGTGGTTTGGTACTGAATGTCATTGGTGATTGTGGTAGGAATTGTAGTTGTTTTAGACCAGTGCATGACAGGGGTGGTGATAGTTGAGGTAGTGCTTGTAGTAGTAGTAGTAGTAGTGGTGGTGGTAGTGGTACTTGCTACGGTGGTGGTGATGGTGGTGGTTCCTAACACAGGTATTGTTTCGAGTATATATCCCTGGCAGTTACCAGTTATGCGTCTCTTAATTTCCTTAGCCTCACCACTCAGAGTGATCACACCCCTCAAGGGAGGTTCCTTGACGTTGGTGAGGGGCTCTTGATCTAGGGAATTGGATCTGTGCTCCAGTTCCCTGAATTGAGCCTGAATACCTTCCATCCCTCCCCCCCCCCCACATGCGTCGTATAATCCTAAGGGTTTAGCGCTCCCACATGATTATGATAAGAGTGATCACAAATTGCCCAACCTTTCCCTATCCCATCCCCTCTGTAAACGTTTCTCGCCCATAAACGTCTACTTACAAACGTATCCACAGTCTTATTTCTAGTAAAAACAAGTAATATTACATCACATCTTCGTAATTTGGGTAGACTAATATAAATTCTCTTGTGTACTGATTTACTTATAGCTAATATAAACTAATTCGTGAGTCTATGGATAGTGAATATTTCTGATTTATATAGCAAATGTCATTGGATTACAAAAGCTAATCAGAATTTTAGGTAATTTGCTTCGAGAGAAACTCATTTGTGGAGGGGGACCTTTCCTTATCTCGAATTAAAACCAATTCCCATGTTCCCCGGCGCTGTATGCCTTTCCTTGCGGGTTTAGCACCTCCCCATGAATAAGGTTGTTTGCCCGAAATGCTCAACATACAAAGGGGCTTTTGGCATGTACAACCAACTATTATATTCCACTGTACAACCATGTACAACGTCAAAATAAACATCTTAATTATGGTAACCGCCATGGGTATATAGGCTTCTAAATCAATTTTGTCTTGTTCTCTGAAGAGTAATATTTCTGTACGAAAGTTTACACCATTTACATTTTCATTATTATTTTTTTTTTTTTTTTGAGATGGGAGCTTTCCTGTCATATTTATTTTCTGTTGTGTAAAGACAAGTTGGAATGTACTCATTTAAATCTACTTAATTTGTAACGACATTAATGTAATTTTGTTGTTAATAAAAATTGAAAAGTGTTTGCATTATTATTATTATTATTATAAATTATTATTATTAGTATTAT